TTCCTTCTTTCCTTTCTTCCTTCCTTCCTTCCTTCCTTCCTTCCTTCCTTCCTTCCTTCCTTCCTTTCTTTCTTTCTTTCTTTCTTTCTTTCTTGCATATTCTGATTCTTTTGTTATTGGGTAAATGATTTTCCACAATTGGGTCAATTGACTCACATTTCACAGTTGTTAAGACCCACTTTGGAGATGTGATCTCCTAAAGTTTCCAAGAATACGGTTATAAATAAGGTTAACCATGGTTTTTAAAAATTGTTACCTAATATATGGAAGGCAATAATGAATAGAATTGTGCAAAATGTTTACTTTGAATTACATCAAGTATGAAATGTTGAGAAAACTGCCATCTTGAATGCAAAATGGGCTGTTTTGAGCATTTTGGAAGCATCTTGAGTTCGAAACAGAGAAGTCCCAAGTTCAAGACAGTCAATTTCAAGCTTGAAATGCTTCCAGAATGCTTGGAAAAGCTCATCCTGCATTTGACAAGGGACATTTCATGAAATTTCACACTCAAAAAATTTAGAAATGAAATGTTTTGGACATTCCTAGAACAGAACATGCAAAGTTTAATCAATAAAAGTCTACACAATTAAAAGTCAATGCCAACTTATGAACTAGAGATACTAGAAACAATGTAACCATATTTAATTTGGGCTGTCATCAGTACTTCATTAAATGAGATTTTTCTGCTTCATTGTTGGATTAAAAGTAGCAAGTGAAGTAATGGATAATTTTGATTGTCAACAGTCCCAAAACATTTTATTTTTTCTCTTCTTCCAGCCTGTGGGTTTTGTTAGCTTCGATAGTCGCTCAGAAGCAGAAGCTGCTAAGAATGCTTTGAATGTAAGTACATAGCATCAGTCTCATTGGATTGGGAAGGATTGTAGGTACTGTTAAACCATAAGTACGTACAGGGGAAAGGCCCTGGATTGTATTAAAATGGAGCTCCGTTGTCAATCGAACCATGTACTGCAGTTCCATAAAACTTGAAATTTCAAATGGAATTGTTCTTCTGAATGCTTATCATAAAAATGTCCTTGTATATAGAAATGTACAGCATTAGCAGAGTAGAAATAGAACCTAAGGGGAGGTAGTGTAGAGTTTTAGAATGGACTGCATATAGAGGACTGCCTTATATCTCTTGCTATATCTACTTTATCTGTCATATGTCCATGGAGTAAATCAAATGAGCTTCAGCTGACAAATGCAGTGATGATTGATTATGTGCCATCAAATGGTCAACTCTTAGTGACATATAGATAGACCTTCTCCAGGATGATCTGTCCCCAACCTGGCCCTTCAGGTCTTCCAACAGTGTACCTTCCATGACTGTAATCAAGTTCATCCAGCTCACTGCTGGTTGTCCTCTTCTTCTCTTTCCTTCCATCTTTCCCAGCATTATGGTTTATTTACTTATTTAAATTTATTTCTCAAGGGAGTTGGGTTTTGCATAAAGTGTCAAAATATGATAATTTGAGCCTGGTCATTTGTGTTTTGAATGAGTACTCTGGATTCATTTGTTCTGTGATCCATTTGTTTGTTTTCTTGGCTTTTCAAAGTATTCTTAGGAGTCTTCTCCAACACTACAGTTCAAAAACCTCAATATACTTTCTATCCTCTTTTATCAAATCCCACTTTCACTTCCCTAGGGTATCACAGGAAGAACCATTGACTGCACAGTTCTGATCTTTGTAGGTATAGACACATCATGACATCTGAATATCTTTTCCAAGGCCTTTATTACTAGCCTACCAAGTGCTAGTCTGCAGTATATTTCTTGACTAATGATTCCTTTCCTATGCAGTTGATCCTAAAATCTAGAAGCTATCCACCACTTTAATATCTTCATTGTCAGTTGGAAAGCTGGTTGCTGTACCTGTTATCATTAGTTTGGTCCTCTTTATATTTAACTGTAGTTCCATTAACTGTCCTTGACTGTCTTTAGTAGACCTTCCAGATCATTTGCATTTTCAGCTATCAAAGTAATGTTGTCAACATAGACCAGGTTATTAATGTTTCTGCTCCAATATTAAAACCATGCTCATCTTCTTCCAAACCAAATTTCCTCAATATACAATTTTGTGTATAGGTTGAATAAATGAGAGAAGAGTAGACAACCTTGTCTCACTCCTTTGCCAACCTGGAGCCAATCTGTTTTGTCATGTTCTGTCTGTACTGTGGCTTCCTGATCTGTGTATTGGTTCTGCATGAGGATAATGTGGGATTCCCATTTTTCTAAGCCCATTCCACAACTTGATATAATTGACACAATCAAAGGCCTTTCTATAATCAAAGAAGCACATGCTGGCTTTTTTTTGGTATTCTTTGGCTTGCTCTATTATCCAGCAGCAATAAAATCTCTTGTTTCTTGGCCTTTTCTAAAACAGCTTGAACACCTGGCATTTCCCTTTCCATGTAGTTCTCTAATCTGTGTTGGATGATTCTAAGCAATATTTTGCTAGTAAGTGAAATTAAGGATATTGTGCAATAGTTTGCATACTCGGTTAAGTCTCCTTTCTTTGATATTTATATGTAGGTTGACCTATTCCAATCTGTTGACCACTGTGTCATTCTCCAGATTTATTGGCATAGGTTGGTTAGAATTTTACTGATTCATGTTCTATTGCTTGCAATATTTCTGTAAATATTTCATCAACTCCTGTAATCTTCCAACTTGATAATAACCAGAATGCTGATCTAACTTCATCTTCCACCATTACAGGTTCTTGTAAATAGGGGTATCTTCTAAGGTATCTTGGATGTTGACATCTCTACTGTAAAGAATTTCCAATCTTTGTTTGATCTTCTTTGAATTACTTACTGTCTATTCATTGGCATCCTTTGGCATATCAATTTGAGGTTGGAACCTCTTTCTAAGTACAGAAATCTTTTGGAAATCTTTCCTTGTTTTTCTGTATCTGTTTCCATCTTTGATTTCTTGACAGATGTCATTGTAATATTGCTTCTTGTCTCTTCTAACAGCTTTCTAAAATTCTTTGTTAAGTTCCTTCCTGAGATCTTTGTCTTTCTTGGCTCTGACTTCTCCTCTTGGCAATTTCCACCATCTGTTCTGACATCCACTTTGTTTTCTTCTGTTTTTTGGTCTTTGGCTGTCTACTTTCATGTTCATCCTTAACAACATCTTTGATTTCATTCCACAGTTCCTCTGGTTCCCTATCAATGAGGTTCAGGACTTCAAAGCAATTCCTGATATTCTTCTTGAAAATGGTGGGTATATGCTCAAGATGTGTCATGGAAACTGGTAGGCTTTGTTCCTCCACTTTAGCTTGACTTGAAACTTGCTTATGAGCAGTTTGTGATTTGTTCCATAGTAAGTCTCTGGTCACATCTTTGCTGTTATAACTGACTCTTCCACTTCCTTGTACCAGTAATATAGTCAGTTTGATACCTGTCTATTCCATCTAGTGATGTCCATGTGCATAGCGTTGGTTGTTCAAAGATTGTGTTAGTAATGGAGAAACCATTGAATTGGCAGATGATAAATCACTATTGTGCTTCATTTCTGTTTCCTAGAGTCCAGCTATGTTTTCCTCCTTATTATTTCTAACTTTTACATTCCAGTCTCCAACCACAAGCAACATATCTTGCTTACATGTTCTGTCGATTTCAGATTGAACTTAATTATTCAATTCATCACCTTATTTTTCTTCTGCATCAGTAGTCCGAACATAAACTTGGATAGCCATCGTATTAAAGGGTTGTCTGCAAAGTCATTTATTGTATTGTACCCAGGCAAGGTCCTTGCTATATCCTTTCTGACCATGAGAGCAATACCATTCCTTCTTTGACTGTCATATCCTGATTAGTCAACAGTATGATCTTCTGAATTGGAGTGTCCAATTCCATTCTATTTTAATTCTCTGATGCCTAAGTTGTCAGCATGTAGTTGATTCATTTCAATTTTCGCTGTCTTGAGTTTTCCCATGTTCATGCTTCTTACATTCCATCATGATTCTGTTTTTGCAGCTTCAGATTCTCTTTTTCTGCATGGCAACATCAGTAGCTAGACATCCTGAAGGCTTTTATCAAATTGCATCATAAAAACCATTAGTACTTCGAAAGACCCTCAGTTCTTCCTCAATAGCATATTGAGGGGCCCATAATCTGACACTATATCATAAGTCATTTTATATTGTATGTCCACGTGGTTTTCTTGGTAAAATATAAGAGTGGTTTACCATTGCTGTCTCTTGTACAGTATGAAATGATGTTTTTGCCATTGTCACTAAAGGGACGAGCCCCTCCAGTATCTTCCTATACAGGTGCCTGCTTCCTTTAGCTGGGCAGCTGGGATGACCGTCACACTTTGGGTGACCCTGCAGGGAGTGTATGCTCTTGGTGTACACTCCAAGCATTCTTTGCTCATCCCTCCCAGAAACATCCCCTGTCATGACAAGGCAGGAGAGCAGGACTTGAGGGGGACAGATGCAGTGGAGAAAATACAAACTTCAGTTCAAACATTATTATGGTATGCAGAGAATGGAAGAGCAGTGTCCTTTATTTCTGCCTGTATAAATAAATAACATTTATTTGCAAAGGGGGTGGAGGACTGGGGTATCTCTGAGAGATCAACAGCATCAGAACAGCAAGCATGACTGGGCAATTGTAGCCCCACCCTTTTTTAATGTGCATATCAAACCCAGCACTTAAGGTGAGATAGGCTACTTTTAAATTCTGCCCATGTTACAAAGCAGGCAGTTTAACACAAGTGTATTTATTTATGGAAGACATTATGTTCGTTATTAACTCTGGTTGTTAAATAATCAAAAGCTAGGTTATTAAGAATTATCATTTAACATTTCTGGCCATATATACCCTCTCTTCCAAACAAAAGACCAGCCAGAGGCTTTGTAATAGCCCCATTTAGGTGAATGTTACATACAGTCCTTATCATACATCAGTGGCTAGCAGCGCTGTAAGATAGTGCTGCACCAACAAGTCTTCCACATACCGTCTGATTGTTTCTAGCGAGTGATGCCACATGCTCTCAGATCCTGATAATTCAGTGGTGTCAGTGTTACAATATTATCGAGTACTGTTACCAGGTGGGAAAAGTGCTAACACATAGATAACTTAACTAAAATTTTGCCAACCGTTCATTCACAGAAAATCCTAATAGTTTTAGTACAGAGAGACCTTTAATTTTGTAGGCAAATTTATTTAGAAAGAGATCAGTAAAAAGTGTTCCATTTTAGCACAATGCTTTCCATGGATATACTGATTTTTTGGTTGGACAATATAAATCTTGGTACACTACTGGAAAATAACAATTACAATTTGAATTATGTGATGTCATTTATTTTCCATTTAATAAAATTGTTAAGTGAAATAATTTACTGACACATACTTCAGAATCCTATAAAAATGATGTTGCTGAGAATACAATACTTTGCACTGTTGAGAGACCAGAATACAAGATCTTCCCACTTGAGAATGAGAGAATCTGTAATGAAGTTCATCCACAATCTAAATAGTCTCTCTGCATTCAGAGTAAGCACATTTAAATAGGAAACAATGGGTACAATCAATGGTGGTAAATTTTCCAGAAATTCCTTAGGTTCTTCTGGCTTTTAGCATTAGCAATCAAAAGACATTTGTGCTTAAAAAGCAGTTAGAAAACATGAGAAAATTACAAGTGAAAGATGTTGTAAGGAAGCCCTATAAAATTACATTATTGAACAATAGAAGCCTCATCTTTTTGTCCAAACATGCTACTCTGAGTTAGTGTACCACATTTTTCTAGAGTAAATTATCTGCCTGAACAAACAGACATTGATATGTTGATCCTTTTTGCAAGCAGCTCCGAATTTGTTTGTCTTCAG